AGCACCCATAGCTTCAATGTGGAGGTCGTGAATGCTCTTTGTTCGGGATGGCCAGTTTGCGTTCCTCTCGCTCTTTTTGGCTCGCTGTACAATAACTCCTCTCTTGGCTCGACCCCAGACTATGGGAGTGCCCTCCATTTGATCAATGTCGGCAATAGCATTGGTCTCAAGCACGCGACCAGATTCAAGGACTATCCAGTCGCTGATATCAGTGAAAAGGAGTGGTCCATCATCTCAGTCAACATGCCCCGCATGATTGCCGAAGAATTCATTCCCTCCGATGAGACCGACGTCGGAAGTGACACCGCTTTGGGAGTAGCCCAGATGTTTGCGACCTTCTTTCATTCCATACAGGCCAGGCCCGATTTCAACATCGCGTTTGGACAGTACAAGGAGTATGCGGACCAAGGATACAAGTTCTGGCATGCGTACCCTAGCAAGGAGATCAATCTCAGCTATTTTAACGAACGGAAGTTTCAGGAGGTCTTGAACTTCTTCCAGACTGTTGAAACCGCAAATGCCAAGGCGGCCACCGCTGCATCCTCCAGTGCCACCGCATCCTCTAGCAGGTCCTCACAAGGGTCGTTGTCGACCCAGCCAGGGAGTTCCGCTTGTCGGACTCAACGAGGAGATCGCTCCGAGTCTTTTTGAAACAAGTCTGGTCGTCGTTCCAATGAAACGGCCACGATCCCCGACCTCTCCTGCTGGATCTGCGGAGGTAAACACAAGTTCACTGCACACGTTGAAAAAGATGTTGACTATGTCCGCAAACGAGGCAAGTTGTGGGTCAACAAGTCAGACCAGTCCGTTTGCATTGGCTGGAACGGACCTAACGGCTGTTCATACAAGGACTGCTCCTACTTGCACCATTGTGGCAGATGTGGAAGTTCAAGCCACACCTCTCGCACCCACACCTGAGCTCCCTTTCTCTTCCACAACTCGCTTGATACCAGAGGCGTGGACGAGACTGTTGACGGAAGCTGGGATTATAGATGAATACAAGCATATACCCCTCGGACTCAAGGAGGGTTTTTGCATCGGTTTAGAGAACAAAAAAATCGCAGATACGTACATTCCCAACAATTATTTCAGAACAGAGGCAGAAGCCGAAATCATTCGAGCCAAATTCCATGACGAGATACAACTCGGTCGTCTTGCAGGTCCTTTTCACAAACACAAAATCCAATCGTTCTTAGGCAATTTCAGAACAGCTCCGATGGCTGTCATAGCACAAGGTCCCAGAAATCGCATAGTTATTGATCACTCGCATCCAAGCAAGAATTTCTTGCATTCATTCCATTGTCCACACTCTACCCTACCTCTCCTCTTGATCATCCCAGCGATACCCACTGCGATACCTCACTTGATTCTGTTACATCTCCTTTTACACTCTTGCATCCTACTCCTCCTCTCGATCGTCCCAGCGATACCCACCGCGATACCTCGCCTGGTTCTGTTACATCTCCTTCTACTCCCACCGATCCGAGAACAACGTCCATAAACTCGTTGATTGATCCAGATGATTTCAAGTGCGACTGGGGCACTTTCTCAGACTGTTTTATCTTGATAGCATCAGCTCCGGAAGGTACATGCACTCATGGGCTATGGTACATTCATAAACTGATATACTCCTCACAGGTACAGAAGTGGCCATGTTTGATGTTGACGCTGCCTTTCGCAATATCCCACTTCATCCCTCCGTGTGGCCTCACGTTGCATTATTCTTCCTTGGGATGGTTTACCTTGACCTCTGCATGAACTTTGGTGTTCGCTCAGCGCCAGGACTTTTCGGCAACCTCGCAGATGCCCTGGTCAAGATATTCTTGTTCTACGGTGTCGATGCCGTCCTCAAATGGGTTGATGACTTCATCTTCTTTCGATATCCCACACGTCGTTTCGCCGATGGCAGTTTTGAGTTTTCTTACGATGCTTCTCTGGTCTGGAAAATCGCAGCGACCCTAGGGTGGCCATGGGCTCCAAAAAAGTTCATGGATTTCAATACATCCTTCACGTACATTGGCTTCTTATGGCACATCGCCAACAGAACCGTCGAACTTCCTAAAGAAAAGAAACTCAAATATCTGGCAAGAGTTGTTCTATGGCTCAAACCGAGTGCTAAGATGTCTCTGGCTGAAGCAGAAACTCTTATCGGAACACTGAATCATGTCTGCCTTGTAGTCCCATCTGGCCGCGCGTACCTAATGAAACTCTATGCTTTCCGCGGCTTGTTCAAACACCGGGAACACTTGGAATATCGTCGCCACACTGTTAACCAACAGACTCGCGATGACATCCAATGGTGGTCAGACAGATTGAGTGAGGACTTCCTCGGTCTCCGGATCAAGGAGATCCCCCCATTCTCTTCCATTTCCCTTTTCGTGGACACGTCTACAAGCTGGGGCATTGGCCTCATCATTGATGGCAAGTGGCTTGCATGGGAGTTAAAACCAGGTTGGGAAGGTCTCAACAACAAACGCCATATTGGTTGGGGAGAGATGGTAGCTGTTGAACTCGCTCTTCATACTCTCATAACCTCCGGATACAGAGACACCCGCATCCTGATTTGCTCTGACAATGAGGGTGTAGTCAGCGCGTTGAAGAAAGGAAACTCGAGGGGACACGAGCAGAACCTGATCCTCAGGAAGAGCGTGGAACTTATGCAAGAGCATGGTATATGGATTGACTGTACCTGGATTTTGACCCACGAAAATCCTGCCGACGGTCCCTCCAGAGGAGTTTTTCCCAGACACGCTGATCTGTATCACAAGCCTCTGAAAATTCCCCGTCATCTAGAAGCTCTGGTACATAGATCAGTTACACCGAACGATCCTAGAGTTCTAGGCATTGTCATTCCCCATACATAAGCAGTATACATTGTTACCTTACTTCAGTATACATTGTTACATCGTTACCTTGTACATTCAAAATTTAGTCCTTATCACGTACATCCCCAAAAACGCGGGAACACAGCCACATATTCTCTCTTGAGGACTTCCACAACATCATGCCTCACTACACTCTATACCTCCGCAACAATGCTTCACAAATTCACTCTACTACTATACAAGGCCTAGAAAATCTCAGTGCGAAAGCTAGAAGCACACTTGCTGCTTCGACACGGTCTGAAACTGCTCTGCGCAAATGGAAACGCGTCCGTCATTATCTCGAATGGTGCGAAGATAGGAAACTCACCGCTGCAGAAACTCTTCCGGCTCCCGAGTGGTTACTTTGTGAATACGCAGCTTCGTTTGCGGGTTCAGTGGCAGGAGGTACAGCCAGCGGTTACATCTCGGCTCTGAGAGGCTGGCATACAAGGAAAGGTGCAGCATGGAATGGTGGCAAGAATTTACGCGACATGTTGCGAGGTGTAGAACGCCAAGCTCCCGCTTCCTCGCGACGCGAAGAACGCCTCCCAGTTAAAGAAGAGTTCATCGAACATCTCCACTACGATCTCGACCTTTCAGGTACCAATGGTCTACATGTATGTGTCGCAGCTCACGCCAAAATGATCTGGTCAGGCCAGATGAGAGCTGGTGAACCTTTACCCTCCAGTCCTGATATCTCCAAGTTCTCGCCACTCGACCATCCTACGGTCATGAATCTCAGCAGGCCAAGCGCCAATGGTTCCAGAAAGTTGAAGCTACCACGAACTAAGACCGAGCCTGTACGAGGCGAGACAGTCATCCTCTCATCCATCCCAAACCCGGTCACTAATCCCAACCCAGCACTGGACTTTCATATCTACATCAACAATCTCGTTCCGAGCGATCCCTTATGTGCATATCGTGACAGTCGTGGTCAGCTTAGAGTTATGTCCAAAAAACTCTTCATGGACACCTGCAATGAAGTATGGGCCAGGCATGGCATCCCTCGCATAACCGGCCACTTGTTTCGCATTGGGAGCACGACCCATCTGCTTCTTTTAGGAGTTCCTCCTGATGTTGTCAAAGCCACGGGAAGGTGGAAATCTGACTCGTTCCTGAAATACTGGAGGAACCTCGACTCTTTAGCTTCGCTCCACATCCACAGATTTCACTCCCAGCAATCTTATGCCTCGCAGGTCAATCCGGCCTATCACCACTAGTTCTCGCACACAGTCTTATACTCACTACTTTTGAGTGATACATACACTTGTACTTCGATTCATTTAAAGACCACCGCTCTTTACTTCTAACCATCAAATACCATGTCTACTTAATTCTTCTTCTCGAGACAATCAAATTAACTCCGCTACCATGATAGAGACCTCCTTGACACTCAATTTGACTAAGTTTCCACTTACGAAAAAATTCATAAGACCAGACCATGTGTCTAAACTCCTGCAGGGACTCGAACCCAGCCGCTGGCTAATTACTGATAGGCCCCTTTCACACGGCACCCAGACCACTACTCCATCAGGAGCCACTTACACTTCCAAAATTTTCTCATTTACCGTCGAGGCTTCGCCTCCGCGGAAGTCTTGGGCAAGCCCTGTGGGTGAGTCTGTCATTAGCATGACACGACGCGACCTCCGCTACATCTTCGCTGGTTGGGACTCATGTCACACCTGCTGACGTCTCACCACAGAATCAGTATCATGGAAAATTATCCTGTTCGCCGGAAAAGAATCCGGCGCACCTGCGTTAATTTTCAGTGTTGTCCTTCTGCACACTTAACGGCAGTAGTACTGAAGATCCTCTAGTCGTAAGAGTGGTCATCTGTCCAATCCGAAAGTGAAAGAGTCCGGAGCGTGCAAAGGAATCTGTGTTTTCGTAAGACTGATGACACACGATTTAGACGCCCGCTCTTCTTCCTGAACCACGCACCATCGCTCTCGCTCCTAGCGTACAAACGCGTCTTTCACTTAGCTTTCTTCTGCCCCGCCCACCATCCCATTACAATAACCTGTACAACAGCGCCTCTGTATTTCAATAATGTACAACATCGTCTGGCAGATCTTCCCTCAATCCTTGCCTCCTGAACATACACAATACATTCTAGTTACACTGGGATCATATCATGTCCTGATAGTGCAATGGTCAACACAATGAATTAAGTGTCTAGTGACGCTATGGCAATTTACATTAAAATTCATAGATGGAGGTTCGAATCCCCTCAGGACACTGATTTAAAATTTTGCCTGTAAAATTGAATTTCACAATTCAATTCGCTCCTAAATCTACGTTCAATCTACATATAGTACACACTTATATTGTCAAGTGGTTAAGACACCTTGAATTCCTGCACCAATCTGCCACTTGAAAGATTTCGAGGAGACGGAAGTTCAATTCCTCCTATAAGTACTGCTAAAGAAGCGAAAGTATTTTTCCACTCCTCAAGTGGAATTACAGGCAAGTTACCATTGGCGTTATTTTTCAGTGTTAACCCAAAACCACTATTCATATGTGGATATTCAGTACTGCTGACGGCAGCGCGAATAAATCGTCCTAACCACGCTTTAATCTCGCTGCAACACCCAAGGTATCATGGAAAATTATCCTGTTCGCCGGAAAAGAATCCGGCGCACCTGCGTTAATTTTCAGTGTTGTCCTTCTGCCCACTTAACGGCAGTAGTACTGAAGATCCTCTAGTCGTAAGAGTGGTCATCTGTCCGATCCGAAACCAGACATTTTCAGCAGCAATATATATTGAACATAATTTTTACTATAAGTATAAGGATTATTATTATGCACTACTATTTAACATGTACAAATTACTAGTCATTTAGCTGGGGGGAAGAAACAAAGTTGTGGCACCTTATAGTATGCTGCCACAGGGTCAAACTGCCCCAGAACCTATGTTGATATGTTCTGTGTTAGATATCACAAGATATCAGTATCATTGTTATGATTGATCAAGCTTATAGTTATCTCACACTCATTATTGACACGTACTTACATGTACTTATTTCCTATCACCCCCATTACCAGTATATAAGCAGTAGCTAGATATATGCTACCTCATCCGATTGCCCCTCTCTCAGTGCTGTAGGGGGCAAACAAACGGAATATATTGTGCTTTTCACTTTATTCTGCCGTTGTGCTATATATTATCCCGAGTGGTAATATCGTGTTCTATTTTATTATCCAACATTCTGGGTCATGTACAGTGGTGTTCCAAGGTCATGTAACCCAGTGGCAGCTCTCTATAAGGTGTTGCAACTTTGTTTCTTTTTCCTAACAAGCAACTGTTCATGTAATTGTAATAGGGACATAGTAAATAGTTTATAATATAGGCAAATGTACAGTTGCAAACACATATTAATCTTGTTGAATATACAAAGTGACAGGTCACAGGTACCTGCAGGTTGACCTGTGCCAGACCTGCGGATCCCGGTACCTGTTTCCCACGGGTCCGGGTCAGGTCACAGGTCACATTTATTTTGTCCAGGTACCCGTGCGCCGGATTCGGACTTGTGTCCATCCTTAATTATTGATTGAGTAACTCATCAACAGCTTCGTCTAGTTGCTGATAGTCTCTCACGGAATCGTTGTCGAACTCAAGTTCTTGTGGTGGATCGACGTCTGAAGATCTGATGACTGGAGGGATTGCTGCGTGTCTGAGTGCAGCGCAGGAGACAGAGCTGAAGGACCCCGAGTTTTCTAAGTGTCGTTGGACAAAGACATGTTCAATACCGTGACAAACCATCCTGGCGCTAAATTTCTCTGGGCGCCAATTTATTTAAGCAAGCGGTATGAACCAGCTTCTGTCTTGACCAGGTTTTAACTGTTGCCATTCCTTAGAGTGTCACTAGTAGTCAAGCTTCAAGTCCTAGTCAAGGGCCAGAAAGTTGCTTCGTTCTTGATTTTGCATCTTACTTACTTGTTAGTGAACAAAAAGTCACCACCAGTGGTTCTCTTGGAGCTGGTAATCTATCTAGATGATTTGTGATGACAACAATCTTTTGGTGAACTGTAATCCTGATAGGGAAACACATCTGGTGAAGAGTCTGGGCAAGGGTATGAGCGCTGGTAGTATCACACTCGAAGTCCATTCAAGTCTTGTTCGCTTTGTTTGATTCCTTTGACATTGTATTCACTGTACCATTTTTGCTTCCTTTGTCATCCTCATTCATATGCTTCCCTCCCTATTGGAAAAAGTAAGGCATTCCTTTCAACCTGACTTTCCTCAGATGCTCCGAGGTGAAAGCTAAAGTCTCATCCATCCTTGTACAGATCCAACATTTCCGACAAGCTAAAAACATCTCCAAGTTCCACCTACACTGTTACACCGCTGCACCGACATGCACATGCCCACCTCGAGAACCATAGTTATACATCCAATGAACCCAACACACTGCATTTGTGTATCTTATATTTTATCTTATCCAAAGCATTGATGAATTACAAATCTGTTATGAGTCTGTGCCCCACTAGTTATTGAACATGGAACAAGGTAACTATATTCAAGTTAAGAGGAAAGAGATGTGTAAGATGCACTGGGTATAAACTAGTCTGTGGACCAGCACTCTGCCCAGTTATGCCCAAAAACAGCATTTTTGAAAGAAAGATGATTATAACCTTCGATGGAAATAACAAATAAAGTCTCATCAGCCACTAGATTTTTCCGGTACTGCTCAGGAATCCAAAAAATATGATTGTGGACAGCAGTAAAATGAATCCACCCATCTTGGTTTAATCTCCACAATGAAACTAGAAGATGATGGGTAAATAAAAAAACATTATAGAAGAGGAGAAGGCGCATACAGTGAGAAGATAAAGATGGAGAGTTTATGTGGCCCTGGAATGGCTTATCAATGGTGACTATGGTTTGAGCATTCTGGGATCTCATTGTCTTGTCGGATGGTCCAGAATTGAAAACAGGAGAGAATGGCAGAGACACGACTGAATCAGTATGACCCTGGAATGGCTCACTAATGGCCTCTCCAGTTTGAGCATTCCACAATCTTATTGTCTTGTCAGCTGATCCAGAAACAATTCTTTCTCCATCAGGAGAGAATGCCACAGACCAGACTGAATCAGTATGGCCCTGGAATGGCTCACCAATGGCCTCTCCAGTTTGAGCATTCCAGAATCTTATTGTATAGTCATGTGATCCAGAAACAATTCTTTCTCCATCAGGAGAGAATGCCACAGACAAGACTGTACCAGTATGGCCCTGGAATGGCTCACCAATGGCCTCTCCAGTTTGAGCATTCCACAATCTTATTGTATTGTCAGATGATCCAGAAACAATTCTTTCTCCATCAGGAGAGAATGCCACAGACCTGACTGAATAAGTATGGCCCTGGAGTGGCTCACCAATGGCCTCTCCAGTTTGAGCATTCCACAATCTTATTGTGTTGTCAAATGATCCAGAAACAATTCTTTCTCCATCAGGAGAGAATGCCACAGACAAGACTGGATCAGTATGGCCCTGGAATGGCTCACCAATGGCCTCTCCAGTTTGAGCATTCCACAATCTTATTGTATTGTCATGTGATCCAGAAACAATTCTTTCTCCATCAGGAGAGAATGCCACAGACCAGACTGTACCAGTATGGCCCTGGAATGGCTCACCAATGGCCTCTCCAGTTTGAGCATTCCACAATCTTATTGTCTTGTCAGATGATCCAGAAACAATTCTTTCTCCATCAGGAGAGAATGCCACAGACCTGACTGAATAAGTATGGCCCTGGAGTGGCTCACCAATGGCCTCTCCAGTTTGAGCATTCCACAATCTTATTGTATTGTCATGTGATCCAGAAACAATTCTTTCTCCATCAGGAGAGAATGCCACAGACAAGACTGGATCAGTATGGCCCTGGAATGGCTCACCAATGGCCTCTCCAGTTTGAGCATTCCACAATCTTATTGTCTTATCATCAGATCCAGAAACAATTCTTTCTCCATCAGGGGAGAATGCCACAAACCAGACTAAATCAGTATGGCCCTGGAATGGCTCACCAATGGCCTCTCCAGTTTGAGCATTCCACAATCTTATTGTGATGTCAGATGAGAAAGCAATTATTCTTCCATTTGGTGAAATGCTGACTGCCGATACTTCTGACTCTGTCATCCACTTTCCCACCTGTGAGCTTTCTGTTTTACTTTTTACTTTAAGGGTCCTTTTTAATCTTCCTAATATTCTCAATTTATCAACCCAGAATGGAAGGATGCTCAAATACAAGTGTGGTGTCATGCCATTGACACTACTCAATGTAAAAGTTTCCACCATTTCCTTGATTCTGCTTATATCTTTAACAACATCTTTGAAAGCTCTCTTCTGCAATGAATATCCTGTTAATTGCAAAATCTGGATACATATTTCCATGTTCCTTTTCTCCTGATATTCTCCATTTTTAGTGGCCCCAACCAAACTCATTACTTCAATCCAATAGATTACTTTTTCATTCAAAAAGCTTTTCAGGTTTTCAAGTACTGTATCATTCAGTGATGATTGCACTAGATGATACCCCCAATATCTGCAGCAATAATGCAAAGTGTCATCAATTGCATCTGCAATTTTATTTTGAATGTTGGGGACATCTTTATCTGGGATAAATGATGATGGCAAGTCAGCCATATTGAACCTCAGGTTTCGCATAACTGTGAAACATGCATCACTCAGCAACGTGTGGTGCAACGTTGCATTACAGTAGAGCTCCCTAGCATGGCTCTGACTTGATATATAGTCTGCAAAGGAGGCATGAAAGATGTAGATAGCCTCATCCTGCTCAGCTATATAAAGGACTGATTCCAAGTTTGAGATAGTCTCATTTACAAGTTCCACCTCGCAATCCAGTAATTTGGCAATTACTTTACAAGGGACTGGTTGTCCAATCATGATTGCTGTGTGCAAAACTCTTAGATACAGTACATGCATATCATATGAAACTTCATCTGAACTTGGAATAGCATTATTGACAACAGCATCATATAGCTCATCAAGACCCTTGGTCTGACTTGGATCTGGGGATTTTGCTAGAGTGAGAGCCCATGCTAATCTTTGTTTAACCAGTCCTGGTCTGGCAGTGATCCATTTTACCATTGTTGCGGCATAAATGAATAATTTGCCAGATCTTTTAGCTAATGCCCTGATATTGTTTTCTGAAATAATTGGTATCTTTTCAAGTTTTTCTTGGAGGAATATGATGATGTCACTCTCTACCACATCCATCTCTACATTATGCAAGAAAAATCTTGCAATCTGCAAGTTCTGAAGTGGAGTAGTGAAGTATTCAGAGACATTTTTCTCTGGTCTGCTGGTCAAGAAGAATTTCAACCCAGGCAGAGAAGCTCTTGAAATAGCTGAGATAAGGGCTTCCAAAACAACATTGACTCCAGGGCACTCATCCAATGCA